AATCACACAACCACCAGGCTCCGGTAACGCAGTCACAGACACACCCACATGTGATCATCCTAAGCCCGACATCACAGACAGCCCCACGCACGACACAGTCACAGACACACGCACATGTGATCATCCTCATCCCGACATCACAGACAGCCCCACATGTTACACAGTCACGCACATACCCACATGTGAGGATCCTAAGCCCGACATCACACAACACACACTCACAAGCGACACCGTCACGGACACACCCACATGTGCTGATCCTAAGCCCGCAATCACACAACACGCAGTCACACACGACACAGTCACAGACACACCCACATCCCACACTACCACGTGGCTGCGTTGGATTGACAAACACAAACATATCCTACAACCCGCCGTCACTCACCCATGGTTTATTATGCTACAGCAACACTGGAAGCAATATCAGCAGCAACACGTGACACATCCAACTAACATACAACAGCAGTTACAGGCGTGGAGAGCGTGGGTTTCCCAGCAACATACACACCTGGACACACTGAGCAAAGAAGTGTGGTTCACAGAACTGTTAGAGCAACTTCCACAACAGCACCACACACACGCAGATACTACATCAGTAGTCACCCACACTCCACCATGTGAGGATTACATGATACACACACCAACGTGTACCACAGCAGACACACTCCAAACAGACATTCAAACATCCACACACACACAACCTGCACCCGATGTTGCATGTACGCCGCGCCCTGCCGTGCGCGTCGCACCGCACGCACACCCCACCATGTCACATGTGCCGTTATCTACGCACAAACAGTTAACTTCACAGCTACATATGCTCATTCTTGCCACAGTCATTGAACACTGCCACCATGAGTCACAGTTGCAACACCAAGAGCAGTATTTAGATAATTTACTTGATCACATGTGAACATCACACATACATGCAGTGTTTGTTTCTGTTGGTTATATATTGTGTTTGTTACATTGTTCGCACATTCTTGTCTGTGCTGTGTCTCTGCTTTCTACATTTGCAAGTCTGTTGCGGTTTTGTCTGAGGCGCTGCTGTTTTTTGACACCGTGATGCGTGTGTATGCACCAACCACCCGCCCACCGCATTCACAGTGCGTGTTTTTCTCAACTGACAACCTTAAACTAACCAGGTCATAGCGTTGGGCTATGACCCCTGAAACACTGCTATTCCTTACACGATCACATGTGTATCCTAAAACCGACATCGCTCGTACCACACAGCCACACTGTGCGCTACTAAACCCGGAATGCACCAGGCCACAACATCACAAACGATCACAGAGCACAAGCCCACACCAGCACCACCCACCACAGAACACAATGCCAAACGGTCACAGACATACCTGCATCCTACACCGCGATACACCATCCCACACTCCCACATGCCAACAACCTGCGATCCTAAACTCGACATATGCGGTCCTACGTGCCCACATACCTAACCCCTAAACACGGAATCTACCCTCCCCCAGACGCACACACCTGGAGGTCCTAAAACCCACACATTAGTTCCGTCACCACAACACACATATATCCTAAACCCAGAATCCACCATTTCTCACACCCACTCACATCGATGCATGCTAACCGTACACCACTTTTATTTCATTATGTGATATACATAATATATTTCTTGTTTGTACTATTACATACCTTCTTTTTTTTTTTTCTGCTCTGTTCTGCTTACTTCAGTTTCTTTGTGCTTTCTTTTGCCTTGTTTTGTTCTTTTTCTGTGTAGTCCACTTCTTTTAACATGACCACAGGAACCGGTGCGTACCGGTTACATGCATATAACATGTACATTTAAATGAATAATATGAAGGGGTAGAATTCTCCTTTATGTGAAGTTAATTATTAAAAGCTGCGCACGTGCATTCTACGGGTATAGTGCAGCACACATATAGCATGCGAATAATCATTCGAGTATAAGGTGCTTGTCTCCGAGCGCCACAGGCCGCGTGTAAGAAGGAGGAGGATTGTCTCTCCGAGCAACCGTGGCCGGGTATACGGCTCGCTCCGCGTGCAACACGGATTACACGACGTAGCCGAGTGTAAGAAGCAGGTACACATTGTCTCTCCGAGCAAACGCGGTTGAGTGTAAGAACGATTCGGCGAAGTAGCCGCGTGTAAGAAGGAGGAGAGATTGTCTCTCCGAGCACACGTGGCCGCGTAAGCGGTATTCGACCACGTAGCCGAGCAAACGTCGCCGAGTAAGGGGTATTCGACGACTTGGCCGAGTGAAGCGGTTCGATTACGCCGTTCGAGTAAACGATTCGACGAAGTAGCCGAATAAGGGATCCAGAGAGCTTGGGGGATGGAAAGGCACATACATATTTTGCGGCAGGAAGAACGACAGAAGGACGGTAGCAACGACGGCAGAAGCATTGATGTTGTTGTTATTACTGCGGTTTTTAGGTGTGCGCACACAGAGACAGTGTGTGTGAAGGCATTTAGTGGACAACGGCGACGCGGGGTATTTATGACGAGTTGCGGGTGTACGGTAGTGTAGTAGTGTACTTTTTGCTATTTGTTCCTGTCTTTTTTTATGTTTTGTTCTTTCTCTTCTTTCTTTTGCTTTTTCTATATTCATTTTTCTTTTATTATTTATATATGCGTCCTGCATGATTTATTAGTAGTGGCAACATGCGATTGAGCAGCAGGGCCACATGCAGGTTTTTCTTATTTGTACATTTCTAATGTTGCGTGCTAACCGCAGACATTCCTATTACGTAGTGAAGGAGGGATATAAGAAGAACGTGTATATGGGCTACATAATGCTTGATATATTTCATATAGAACATTAGGGTAGTAGTTGCGCGTGCAGCATTGTTACTTACCGAAGGAGAAACACTATGTCGGCTAAGCAGTTAGGGGCTTTACTGGTGGAGTATGTGAGGAGCCGCGGAGTTTACATGTCCGGCGAAGAATATCAGGTAAGGCACCATGAGGGAATATGTGAGAACACGGAAATTTCGGGGGGATGTGTACACACGGCACACATGGGTACTGTGGAGTGTACGCACATTGAGGTTACAGGAACATTATGGTTATGTATTACTATTTTTTAATAAAGAAGCGCACAAACACAAGGAGTGGGTTGTCTTGTATGAATTTATTCACGATCACAGAGAGGGTGTGGACACCGTAGTACATAGGTATATCATTTATTTTAACATTGTAGAATATGCTCTTGAAGGACATATATAATCAGTTACGAGAGTTTGTGGTGTACATGGAAAAGAAAGAGAACATCATTTTGTTTAGCGTTAATTGTGATGACCACGGCTGGTGGCATGAAGGCGCAGGTATTAGGCAAATGAACACGCCAGGAAACATACCTATATGTAGGCTTATGGTAGGGGCTCTATATTTTATGAACAACAACAAATGGAAACGGCAACGTGGAGAAAGGGCGGACACTGCAGATGACCGCCTAAAGGACTATGTAGGGTGTGCAATAGTAAACATGTTTGAAGAATTATTGCTGGAGGCATCCTGCGGAGCAAACTGGGGTATAGAGCAGGCCTGGTATATAATGAGAAAAATAGAGGCAGCTATTCCTGGTTTAATTACGGACAAGATTTGTAACCTGCAACAGGCTGAGAATATACAAATTGGAAAATGGTCCATGAAAGACAAAATAAAGAAGTGGTTGGACGCGAATGAGAAGTTTAAAGCGAAATTACAGGTGCAAAAAGTAGGAAAACAGTGCACGGGAAATGCGAAGAGCACATCAAAAGATGAGCGCGCATCGACAGCACTTAGTGAGGGGCACGCTAGCAAAATTAAGCAAACAAAGAGTGCTGAGAAAATTCTGTGGGGTAGAGTGAAGACTGTAGTTCGGGAAGCTAGAAAAGAGGTACGACACCAAATAAAAGAAATGCATAAAAACAAAACGAGCCAACATTATGCCAACGTGACGAGAGGGGGGGAATTTATAGACATATCCGACCCGGAGGACGACGACGATGATGAGGACGATGAGGATGCACAAGAGGAGGACGTGAATGGTAAGAAGAGTAAAGGCACAGAGTGCTACTAATACGGGCAATAAGAACACGCACCATACACACGCGGCCGAATACGTATACGGCGGCATACGAATACGCGCGCACATACTGCCGAAGACTTCGGTGGCCGCCACAACAACAACACGCACACGCGGGAAGAACAGCGACCAGCGCTTCTCTTCGCTGCGCCACATCGGTTTAGCGGAGGTATGCGGCGGCGATGGCAGACGACGACAAATAAAAGTTGTACTGCTATCATGTACCCGCAGTCCACCGAGTTCAACTAGTCCAGTCCACGGACTGCGCCCCCTGCATCGACCCATGCAGCAGAGCCGGAACCTACCCTCCGTCCAGCCGGACCGTACCCTGGCGCTACCGGGCCACACCGTCGCGCCCCCTTCTTTCTGTACCACTTGTGTCCTTTTTGTATCAGTTTGTCGTTTTACTTTCTCGCTTCATTTGCAGAAGGCACGAAACCGCAAGCTCCACCAGCTAAGGTACCAGAGGTACCAGAGGAGGTTGTTCCGGAGAAGACACCATCGGGGGCAGGCAATGCGCAAAATGACAGGGGACGATCTGATAGGGCACCACCAGCCGCACCTGCCAAACCAGCACCAGCCAAGGACACCATCACCCGCAGGACCAGAGCCGCCTAAGACGGCCGCAACTACCCCAGTTACAGCACCGGAAGCAACATCTCCAGGTAAGGCCACATGTCCTGGTAGTAACGGAACATCTACAGGTGTCTCCATTAGTTGTGCGACTACGTCGGATGAAGCACTGGGCGAGACAGAGAAAGTCAAAAAACTCCTGCAGCAGGCAGACAAGAACAAGGCAGGTACAGCCTTGAGGGAGTGTAACACACGACGGTAGTGTCATGAGTGCATGTCGACAACCACATCAAACAGAGAACACAACACACAGACTTCCACAATTTCCGCAGAGACAGCGGCAGCGAGCAAAACCACACGTCGAATGAGAATGAGCGAGGGGAGAGCGATCGGCCGAGCAACGGGTCGGCCGCGGGATGTAGACGTCGACACAGACACACACACAGTGTGTTGTGTTGTGTGTTGTGGCAGAGAGAGAGAGTCTTTTCCCGGAGTGGCACCGTAACCACCCTACCCCCGTCCTCACCCACGTCGAAGTCCACCGTGTAGCCGACCGACCGTGGTCCACCGTGTGGTCGAACAATGCAGCGACGGACAGCGGGCCAGCGGCAACCGTGGCCAATCTCGCACTGCATAAAGTTCAGTTTCCTCACATCCTTCTTCCTTCCCTTTCCCTGTCTCCCCATTCACCACATGTTCAGGCGATGCCGTGCCCGATTGAGGCAGTAGCGGCAACGGACAGAATGATGACCCCCCTCCTCTCAATCCACCCAAACCAAAACCCAACCCGAACCCAGATCAATCGGAGCCGCGCGGCGGCCCCACCAGCGGCGAAGCGTCCACAGCAGGTACTGAACACGGTGCAGGAGGAGGTCCAGGAGCACCAGGAGGAGGTGGGGGAGGAAGTGGAAGTTCCTCATCCTCAGGACCCGGTTCTACTGGTGACCAAAACCCAACTTCCACAACACCCGGATCCTCGGACCCTGTGAATCCAGGTTCCTCCGGTACTAGCTCAACTGGACACACGAATAAAGAGAACGTTGAGGCAAAAGGAACCCACGAGGATAAATTACCTGCGGATGCCCCCATCAACCCTTCCGTGCCACCCGGCCTCACATGGGAACATGTCAAGTGGTACATCCCCGCGATCATTCCCGCGGTGGTTGGTATTGGCGTCCTTGCCTTTTTCCTCTGGAAGGTAAGTATACACGACCATGAGCGCATGCCGTATGTGCAGGATGTTTATACCTCAGAAACACCCGACGGGCTGCAATATATGATCGTTCGCACCAATATGCCCCTACACCCTCGTTCATTCCTTTTTTCCTACCGTCCTCACCCTCCTCTTTACCCCCCTTTTTCTGTTTAGTACTTTGCGTACCTCGCCAAACGACGACGAACATATCGAACCGTGCGTGACGTGCCGTCACCGCCACTCGACGAAGACATATTGCAACATCTACAACGCGGCGAGCCGCCGCCACCCGATTATGGGTACACCATGATTAGGGATAGGCACCCTGCGTCAACATCCGAACGCCGCGGACCACGCCCACCACGCGTGCATACACGCACGATCATTGAGCTACATCTAGAAGTGCTCAACGAATGTGAAGCCACCGAATGGGAAAACGTCAAAGACGATTTTTACGGGATACTCGTTGAAGAGTTTATGGGGGGCAACAACGGACATAGTAGTTCCTTGGATGCTCCTACCACAAACCAGGCTTTATCACGGAACAATGTTTCCACCATCCTCGATCCATCCACTGACTCCGCACAAACGGACCCTTGTCGACCTCATGACCCCGATCCATGGAGTTGTATGGAAAATATCGACTTAGATGCAGAACAGAATGCTCATTCCGACCACGGTGACGCGACGTCCGACCACACTAATTGGATTAACTGGATTGACCGCAACAAGCATCTATTGCAGGACTGCACGACGCAGCCATGGTTTAATGCCCTCAAATCGGAATGGAAACAATATTATCAACAATATGCGCCAAACGAAGCATCTGGTGTGAACAGGACAGCCGCAACCATGGAAAGCAGGAAATTTGATGCATGGAAAGAATGGGTTGCAAAGCAACATGCGCTTATGAATACATATAGTGAGGAGCCCTGGTTCCAACACCTATGGAGTAATATCGCGCAGACAGGAGTAGTAACAGAGGAAGACGGCATGCCGGAACAGATACGAACGGTGCAAGGAGTGAGTCACATACACACAGTAGATGAAAAACCGACCACATTTGTAACAGACCAGGGGCCACCTGTAGAAAAAGGCTTAAAAGTAGAAGAAGCACTGGAAGGCGGATCAGCTTTGAAAGTGCGACATTTACCACAACAGCAACTGCATCCGCAACCTTACATGAAACAACCGTTAACCGCGCAAACATGGATACTGATCCTGGCATTAGTCATAGAACAGTGCGAGCTCGAGAGTAGCATGCAAGAGAAGGAGTTATATGTGGATGATCTATTGCAGCAGCTGTGCAATTAGGATGACGGGGCATATGGATGCGACATAACGCATGCTGACCGTAGACCACTTTTACTTCATTCTGTGATATACATAATATATTTCTTGTTTGCATTATTCCATACGTTCTTTTTTTGTTCTGCTCTGTTCTGCTTACTTGTGATTACTTTTGCCTTGTTCTGTGCTTGTTGCGTAGTCAACTTCTGTTAACATGACTATACAGATACGGTTGTAGAGGTTAAATGCATATAAAATGTAGATTTAAATGAATAATATGAAGGGGCAGTATTCTCCTTTATGTGAAATTAATTATTAAAAGCTGAGCAAGAGCATTCTACGGGTATAGTGCAGAACAAATACAGCATGCGACTACGCATTCGAGTATAAGGAGAGCTTGTGTCCCTGCGCAAACGTGGCCGGGTAAAGCATTGTCGTCGAGTGTAAGACGGAGGAGAAATTGTCTCTCCGAGCAAACGTGGCCCGTTAAGGTGATTCGAGGTCCGATTCGACGAAGTCGCCGAGTGTAAGAAAGGCGGGAGACATTGTCTCTCCGAGCAAACGAGCTTCGACCAACGCGGCCGCGTGCACGAAGCAGGAGAGATTGTCTCTCCGAGCACACGCGTGTCGACCAAAGCGGCCGCGTGCACCAAGGAGGACCGTTGTCTCCGCGCACACGCGGCTGAGTGTAAGCAAGATTCGACGAAGTAGCCGCGTGGCCCGGAGAGGCGTTGACGGGAGAGGCCTTGACGGAGACAGCGTTCACGGAGAGGCGTTGACGGAGAAGGTGTGACCCGGAGACGGGGTGACGGAGCAGCGTGACCCGGAGACCGGGGTGACGGAGAAGCGTTGACGGAGACGGGGTGACGGACAAGCGTTCACGGAGAAGCGTGACGCGAGACGCGGTGACGGCGACTGGGGTGACGCAGACGGGGTGAC